TTAGAATCGTATTTAAATTCTCTACAAGTTTGATGTTGTGAGTTTTGGCAAAAGATCACGTTTCCAGGATGTTCAAGTTTGTATAGCAGGCACGCGTTTTCAAAAGTCTGGAGGAAGAAGATGAAGTTGTTGGGCTGGGCTTGGTCTGCTTGCTTCTAACACCCCTCTTTTCAGTTTCACACCCCCTGGCCCAATTTTTTATATTTTTGCATTTTTGAATTTTTGTTTTCTTTTCTGACTTTGATATTTTATTTCCAAATATAATAAATGCCCAAAAAAATATTTTTATAATTTTTTACATTTATTTGGTATTTTATTTTGATTTTTCTAACATAAAAACATTTTGAATACTTTCATAATTTATTTGAAAACTTGAAAAAATATTTACATTTTATACTTTTATTTTTGATTATTTATTTTTATTCATATTAAAAATATTTTCTTGAATATATTTTATTTTTGTACATATTTTATTTTATTTTGGTATATATATTTAATTTGATTAATATACATATAATAAACATATATACTCTTATTTTATTAAATACTTAGAATAAAAAATACAAAAAATGTTACATTTTTATTTTTTATTGTTTATACTAAAAAACATTTTTTTAAGTATATTTCATTTTTGTACATATTAATATATTTTTGTACATAAATAATATATTATATTTATTTTCTTAAAGAAATTAGGGTTTCATCCCTTAAACAATAAAATTAATCTTTTTATTTTATTTCTTTATACTTTTTTCACATTAAAAATACTCTACATACATAAACAAATAAAAACTTCTTTTTGCATAATACATTTTATTTAATATTTATTTATTTTTGTTTATTTAAATATTGTACATTTAAATATTGTTGCATTGTAAATTCAATTTGGATGTAATAGTAACTAGGGTTTATATTTCTTGTCAAATACCCCCTATTCACAAATTGTACCCCCATCCCTATAATCATGTTGTAATAGCTTAGAATTTAAATTCTCGCACTCTACGCTTTCAAATATGCCATGATTAGAGTATTAGGGTTTGTATGCAAAATCAAAATCAACAAATAGTTTGACCTAATCAAAGACAAAAATGCATGAAAATGAAACACAGTACACACTTACACCCCTAGGGTTACAATCCACTTGTTGCCTTCAAAAATGGGCCATGGTATGCATGTTGGGTACTTTGGCAAAACAAAAAAAAAACAAAACAAAAGATCATAGTCCCTCGATGACGCTATCTGAGTTGCCTAAACAAAAATGATCAAGTCCCTCAAGAAAATTGCCAAAGATACTTGACACAATTGCTATCATGGTCTATACGATGACCCGCGCCTGTCACGTTTAACATCCTAAAATAAGTTTGTTCACCAAATACAATGGTGAAACAACACTGTTAAAAGGGTTAAAAACATAAAAAAGATCTTTTGAGTAAAATAGGGTAGATAGCTCTTAGTTACTTGATCAAAAGCTTGCAAAACATCCTTGCTATTTTTAAACACACTTCAAAAACACAATTTTAAAACATTTCAAAACAAGACTTTCAAACATTGAAACCATTTCAAAAGACAAAAACATCTTTGTATACATTCAAACAAGAATCATTACAAAGGTTGCCACAATGATGGCCTCTTTTTCAAAACATCTTTCAAAACCACACACAAAGCACCATTTCAAACAATTGAAGAGCACCATTTCAAACAATTGAAAAGCAAAGTAAGTGATCTAAACAAGTAACTAAGAGCCCATGAATAACCATGGATGAAAAGGGTGCTTGCACCTTCCCTTTTCATAATCTACTCCCCGAACCCAAGAAAACATCTCAAAGGTCTTTCCTGTGCTTTTTGACCTTTCCTTAGGATAAAATAAAAAGTCGGTGGCGACTCTTGCTAAGCCGAAACATTTGCGAACACAAACGCAAAATCTCAAGTCAGTTCTCCCACCGTATCACATGATCCATCTGACTTCAACTTTATCTTGAAAACCCATCTGACGTTGATGGCTTTCTTCTCCTTTGAAAGCTCAAATAACTCCCAAGTCTTGTTTCTTTCTATAGACTCAAGTTCTTCTTTCATGGCCTTCAGCCACACTTTCTTCTTGAAAGATTTTTCATTACTAACTAGTTCAAAGTCTACTAACATGGCACACTGAGTGACTTCTCCTTCATATTCTACTTCAATATCTTGCAACATGTCAAACTCTACAAATCTCCTTGGTATTTGTCTGATTCTTTTTGGCCTCTGGACTTATTCATAATCTTCTTCAAATTCTGGAACAATATCACCTTCTAGACTTCCTTCAGAAGTTGGACCACCTTCAGAAGTTCTACCTTTAGAAGCATAACCCCAAAGTCTTGATCACCAGATTCTGAACCATCATCAGAATCTAAATCAGAATTAGATTCACCTTCTGAGTCATCTTCTGACTCGACTCATTATTAGATTCTCCTTCAGCTTCCAATTTGTCAGAACCTTTAAATTCTGAAGTATCTTCAGAAGTTACCTCAGGTGTTGACACTACACCATAAATGGATTGAGACTTGTTCCAATCCTATGCTTCTGACTCTTTCACAATAATGTATCTACTGACTTCAATTTTATTAGTGACTAGACAATAAAGCTTGTATGCCCCTATGTTGTGGTACCCAATCAGCAACATTACTTTGCTTCTATCATCCAATTTAAAAATTGATTTTGCTAAGTGGATGGTGGTGGGAGGGGATATTTGAACCCAATTCGGACCCGTTTGAAATGAGTTTGGGTTTTATTTCCTCATCCCCGTGGGAATTATGGCGGGAAATGGTTATCGTTTAAGAATTCAAATTTGTGTTTATGGGAGGTAAAAATCGTCTCCGTCCCGTTGCCATGTCTAGAGTCAACTCACTCATATTAAGGGTTTTGACTATGATAATCTCTTATGAGTTTAAAATTTTCTCAATTTGTTTCTCAGAGTTTTTCACTATGATAAATTATAAATATCTAAGAAACTTATGACAATTTAGCAAGTGTACTAACATATCGAAGTAATAAAAATCTAAGTTCGTATTTACAGAGATTGTTTTATTTTAGCAAAGCAATTCAAGTGCTATTGAAAGTAAAATAGGGTTTTTTAAGGTTTGATTTGACAAAATAAATTACACAAATAAAATTGTTGGAAAATTTTATTAGATTAACGACGATTAGTTCTTATTCAAATCACCTCACCGTCTTGATGACTGCGCTTACTTATCTAAATTTTATTTCACAAAATTACGACAAATTAACATGGCTCTTATACCAATTTTTTTGTGCATAACTCAATAACTTAAACTACAACTCCATAAGGCTAACTGGATAGTAACATCAGGCAAATGTCGATCATCAATTCCTTAGCCACAACTAATAATTATTTATCCCTAAATTAATTATATAGTTGAACAATTACTCCAGTTTAAGTTTATAGAGTTAGAGTAACTAATCACTACAAACTTAGATTCAATTCATGAGTTCGTAAACACACAAAAGTCATTACACATAAGAGAAACCAAATAGAAATTGTAATATCAATTTATATAAATAATACAAAATAAATCATATGTCTCAACAGATCAAAATATGTTCATCTAACAAGTCAATAAATCATAGCTATCATACTAATAGAAATTATAACTAAAGTAATAAATAAATAATACATGAACATATAGTTAAAATTTGGCTTCTAGTGATGAACCCTTAGTCCCATAGCTCAATTGCAGTCAAAATTAATTCCCAAAGGATATCCACTCCTTTTTCCTCTATCTTTTGCCTTTTTATAGAAGTCAAAACACATTAGAAAAATATACAAATCGCACACGTGATATTTCCAAAATGTTGAACTTTTTGCTAGCTTTCATTTGAAATAAAAGTTTCGTCTCAATTCGAATTACGATATAATCAACCAAAATCATCTTTTAAAAGTGTATATGATCTATAACACGGAACCTCACACTTTTTTATAACAACTCTTATAGAAAAACCTCCATATACATATTTCACTATTAATTTATAATCAACTATAATCTCAAAAATTTCATGAGTCAACTAAAATTTCTATGAAATTCTTCTACAGAACCTCTTTAAATTTACTATATGCAAGATGTTCCTTTAGTTTAAAAAAGAACACACATTTATAGTATGTTTGATTTTCCTTTTAAAAGAATAAAAAACAATGGTAAAAGTGGAAAATTGATTCTAGAGTGATTTTAAAATATTCGATTTTTCTAAAATATAAATGATTTTATTTTTAAAAATAATTTTATTTAAAATATAATTTATAAATTTTGAATTTAAACATAAATTTTATATTAAAATTTATAATTAAACTCATTTTTCTATAAATATATCCAAACATGAATTTATTTGTTAAAATCAATTCATTTAATTATTTCAAAATAAGTATTTACATTGTCAATCTAAACAACCCTTTGCTAAAATAGGTTCCAAAAAGTATAGATAATACACTTTTTTTTATAACAGTCAAAGTGCTTTTAGACCGTTGCACCATCCTTCTACTATTAATTTGACCGTGGAAAATAAAAATGCAACAACAATCTGAGTGCTCCTTTTGACACGATGCGATGCGCAAATTGTTATCAATCAAATCATGCACACACAATAGTATAATAAAATAGTCCAAAAACAGAACAGAAGCATCTAAAAAGATTAACAACAATTTCTTTTAACAAGAGACAACAAATGGGACAGGAGGATTACCAACAAAAAGAAACAAACCAACCAACCAACAACATCATACTTGTATCTAGCAATTCGAGAAGAATAAAATTATCCCAAATCTATAATCTAATAATTTTATAACAAAACCCCACCTCTAATACGCCAAAAGAGATCCTTAAAATATGATACTATAATAATCCACAATAAAATAAAGTATTTCAATAATATCATCATCATAGAGAATCTGAGTAGACACACATTGGTCACACCAATAACTTGATCCTATTAATTATTACCTGAAACTGTAATATTCATTGCTTGGGTTTAGGTTTTGGATAATCAAAAGGTAAAGAAGAAACCCTATTATCCTCTAGATCCGGATGCACAAAACCATATTTCCTGATAACCTGATTATCAGCAAAATTAAGCGCACTACGCATCCCGTTCCAACAAGCCTCCGCCGTGTACATTTCATTATACTTCCCACTACACGGCTGACAACCCGTAAAATGCGTCACGAACGGTTTCCTCCAACTCCCTTTCCCATAACCCGCCTCTCTCAAAAACTCTTCCCTCACCGCACCGTAACCTTCACTCACCTTCTCCGCGTGACGCCTCCTTAACCTACGCACCCCTTTTTCAATCTCATTATATCTGATAGTACTATTCTCGAATGTTCCAATTATTTCCTCCCAGTAACCCTCAAAATAATATTCACCTTCCAAGTAAATCCTGTCCGCCCATTTTTCTTTCTCCACCGCGATCAAGTAAGCCAGGCCCGTCTGATCATCTGACTCTGGAAAAAATTTGTCTTTGAAAATTGACCGGAGGGTTTCACCCCATTTTTCATATTCCGGGCTTTGCGGGCCCATTCCGGCCCATGCATCCATTAAATCCAACGACCACTGACAGTTTCTGATCAAGAACACGCCGGCGTTTAGGCCCGTCCAGCTCCGTTTCTCGTGGATCAAATGAGGCCAACCGTGAACCACGAGGTTGTGATTCTTGTAACGATGAAAAGGAAGCTTGAACTCCATGTCGGTGAATAACGCGTCTGAGTCGACCCACCAGATCCACTCGGCTTCCGGGTGGGCCATCATTGCGGCTTTAACGACAGGGTATTTAGCCCAGTATGCGAACATTTTAGGTTGTAAAAGAGCGTTGTTGTAGAAAATGTCGTAGCCGTGGATACGACAGTAATCTACTTTGTTTTTGAAGAATCCTAGTAACAAGTGGTCGCCGATTGGGTTTTTGCACGGGGAGGGTTGTGATCCGGTGAGCATTAGGACTTTTTCTTTATCTGAGAAAGAAGGGTGGAGTTTTAGCCATTGTTGTCGTTTCTCGTCCCAGTTTTGAATGTTGTCGTCCATGTTGTATCCCATTTCGGGATCGTCGTAGAATGTTTGGTCTGGTGGGTCGTAGAGTAAGTCAGGAGTGGGATTTGAAACGGCGTTGTTTTGTTGGGATTTTAAAGTGGGGTTTTGGTATGGGATGGGTATTGTTAAGGTGGAGAAACCCCAGACGAGTACAAGAGCTGAGAGTGCTCCTCCGAGGAAGAGGAACCCGTCGGAGAAGCATGGAGAGGAAGATTTGTTTTTGAGAGTGGGTTTGGTCATGATGGAAGAGTAGTGAGAGTGGGAGAGTTCTGTCGTGACCATTTTTAGGTTTCTGAAGGTGTGAGTGACAAGTATGAAGTGTGATGAGAGATTGATTGAGGAGGTTGTGAATGAGGAAAATGGTGATAGGTTGATGGTAATAACTTGAGGAAAACAAAAGGGTGAGTGAGTGAGTGAGGGAAGTGTGAAGTTTGGGAGATTGTTTTGTCGTTTTATTTGAAGAAGCGGTGCGTATCGTCTAACTATAAAGCATGCGTCAATTTGTGAATGGAAATTAGTAATGAAGGGTCAAGGAAGTTTTTTTTTTTGTTTATCCTTAATTAATTAAAAAAAATTAGTTTAAATAATAGTCAAAAAATTGATTTTGTAATTATTATTAGTATCTGGCTCTGTTTTTTTGGATTGTTGAGATTTGAGAGTGATGGGAGAAGAAGATAGGAGTATATGACCGAGTGAAGGGGCAAGTTTGAAATTAATTATCTTGCCAATTTGATTTGATTAGCGTGCTTTCTTGATTATGTTGTGATTCATGCTGCGGCTAATTTCCAAAGATTGTCGGTTATATTCAAATTCCAACTTCACTTTTCTCCGAATGCATAGACTCACAAACAAGTACTTTAACAACATGTTAAGATATCAAAACATACAAATTTTGTCTTGGAAGGAAAGAATTTAATTGATTCAAAGTTTTGATTTATGTTTTACATTAGTTGGACTTAGTATTACAGAGTTACACTTTATAATTTCCAAAGTAATTCATTTATTTATAATATTTTTTAAATAATATATTCTTTCTATTTTCAATACAATTTGCAAAAATCTACCACACAAATCTTAGAGGAGTCTCCCACCCACTTAGTAGCAAGTACTTAAATAAGGAGAATTTTTACTTTATAATTTCCAAAGTAATTCATTTATTTATAATATTTTTAAATAATATATTCTTTATTTTTTCAATACAATTTGCAAAAATCTACCACACAAATCTTAGAGGAGTCTCCCACTCACTTAGTAGCAAGTACTTAAATAAGGAGAATTTTTAAATTCGGAGGATTTTGACTAAGAGATATCTCATACTCTTCTTACTAAAGTATGTTTTCATACAATTTATTGTTGCACAAAAGGTTAAAGCTGAAAAATAAATAAGGAAGAAAAGAGAAAAATAAAGACGGATATAATAAATTTGTTGAAAAAAAAATTTTATATTAGATTCTTACTAAAATTTTAGTTACAAAGTTATTTATATACACAAAATAAATTGTCATGTAAATATTAATAAAAGTAAATTTAATAGTTAAGTTAACAAAATAAACTAGAACTCTAAAAGTTAAACATATTTCTGAGACGTAATCTCAAAAACTTTTGCTTCTAACTAACACAAATACTTATGAATATGAATTATTTCTAGTACCATCTCTTAATTCATATTCAACTAACTAATTTCTACAACACCAATTTCATCTCTCAAACGAATAAAATATTCAGTCTTGACAGCCTTTGTCAGAACATCTGCAAGTTACTTCTGGGTACTACGTTGTGCAACTTCTAACACTCCATTCTAAACTTGACTTCTAAAAAAACGGAACTTCATGACAATGTGCTTGCTTCTCCCGTGCAACACTGGATTCTTGGCAAGACTTATAGCTGATTTGTTATCAATCATCAAATTCATAGGTTTGCTCACCTTGATCTTCAGATCCTGCAATAAATTCATCAAATCAAACAGCTTGACACGCAATCAAAGCACTTATAATATATTTGACTTCACAAATTGACAAGGCAACTACAGGTTGCTTCTTGGAGCACCAAGAAATGGGACTTCTCATATATTTGAAAAAATATTTAGAAGTACTTCTTCTGTCAATTCTGTCTTCACACCAATCAGAGTCTGAATAGCATATCCGTTTTGCATTTGATTTAGCACCAGAAGGGAACAATACTACATACCTCAGAGTCCATTTAATGTACGTCAGAATCCTGACAACAACTTGTTAATGTGACCTCTTCGGTTTGTTTATAAACCTACTCACCATTTCAATCGTATAACAAATATCAAGTCTGGTGTTACACGGATATCTTGATGAGCCAACCAACTGTTTGAAAGTTGTAGCATCTACATCATAATCCAACTTGTTATTCATCTCAGCAGGTGTGATTCTAGTATGGCAATTCGTTAGCTCAAACCTTTTCAGAATCTCAAGTTCATACTTCAGCTGATGTAAAATTATACCCTTCTCAGAGTATAATACATTCATCCCTATAAAGTATATCGGTTTTCCTAGGTCATTCATTTTAAATTCATTCATTAACACCTTCTTGAACTTGACTACGTCCTCATAACAACTTCCTGTCAGCAATATGGCATCAACATACAAACATACCAGAATCATATTACCTTTAGAAGTATACCGAACATATGTCATACTTTATCTCATACTTTTGAAATCCATGCTTCTTGAAAAATGAATCATTCAAGTTCCAAGATCTGGGAGCTTGCTTCAATCCATATAAGGATTTATGCAACTTATACACCATTTCTTCTTGATTCATTTTCATAAATACGGGAGGTAATGACACGTATACCTCTTCTTGTAATGGACTGTTCAGAAATACAGATTTCACATCCAGAGGCTAATTTTTATTCGCAGTTATCGCAATTACCAATCTGATTGTTTCAGGTCTAGCTACAGACATAAACACCTCAAAGTAATCTAGTCCATATTTCTGAAGAAAACCTCTAGCTACTAGTCTTGCTTTGTGCTTTCCAATTAATCCATTTGGCTTTAATTTCACCATGAAAATCCACCTGACACTGATGGCTTTCTTCTCCTTTGGAAGCTCAGTCAACTCCTAAGTATCGTTTCTTTTTATAGCCTCAAGTTATTCTTCCATGGCCTTCAGCCACACTTTCTTCTTGAGAGCTTCCTCAACACCAACTAGTTTAGAGTCTACTAATATGACACACTAAACAACTTTTCCCTCAAAGTCTATTTTAGTATATTGCAGCATGTCAAACTCTGCAAACTTTCTTAGTATTTTCCTGATTCTTTGTAGCGTATGAATATGTTCTGACTCTTCAACAGAACCACCACCTTCAGAAGTACCACCTTCAAAAACATGATCACCTCCAGAAGTTTGTCCTCCAAAACCTACGTCTTTAGAGGTTTCCCCTCCAGAAGCATGATTACCACCAGATTTTGGATCATCATCAGAATCTGAATCAAAATCGGATTCTGACTCATCTTAAGACTCTGACTTATCTTCAGAATTTTCATGTTCTGACTCATCTTTAGAAACTACATCAGGTGTTGGAACTACACCATATTTGGATTGAGACGGTCCAATCCCAAACTTCTAACTATTTCACAATGACGTCTCTACTGACTTGAGTCATCTTCTGATTCTAACTCATCTTCAGAATCAAACTCGACTTCAGATTCAGAATCAACTTCTGACTGTGACTCATATTCAAAGTCTCCTTTAGAATCAGAAAACATCAATAACATAGGTTCCTCTTTAGATTTACAAGCCATTAATAGCACATGTTCATCATCAGAATCTCCTCTGGATATTTTTTCTTCTTCTTTGTTTGATAATCAATCTTTAGTAAAGTGGCCAAACCTATTAAAACAGTAACATTGAACCATTCTCTTGTCAAACTTCTCATTTCCCTTCTAACGTTTCTTCTCATTAGAATAGAAGGCTCCTGACGTCTGAGAATTACCATCATGTCTCTTCTTGGCTTATTACCAAGAATGCATTTGGTCCTTCCTGACAAAAGAAGCTTTCAGAGCATGCTCAACCTCTCTTTCAAAAGTTCTCTCAATCAGACGTAACTCTTACACCTTTAGAATTCTTTCAACTCTTCAATTCTCATGGTGCTCAGATCTTTAGAATGTTCAATTTCTATAACAATATAATCAAATTGAAGAGTAAGAGACTTTGATATCTTCTCAATGATTACTTGTTCAAAAATAATCTCTCTACAAGATTTCATCTCATTTGTGATTAAAATCACTCTAAAAATGTAATCAGGTACCTTCTCATTATTCTTCATGTTGAGATTATCATACTGCTTACATAGAGATTAAAGCTTCATCTTTTTAACTAACTCATCTTCGCCATATCACAGTGTCAGTATATCCCATACAGCCTTAGTCGTCATTTAATCACCAATTTTTTCAAACACATTTGCATCCACACACTAATGGATGTAGAACAATGCTTTCGGATCTTTCTTCCTTGTATTTCTATGCGTGTTTCTATTTTCCCCTCTGTTGTATCCGCTACAACCGGAACATAACCTTCGGTAACAACATCAAGAACATCTCGAGCATCGAACAAAACACGCATTTGAATCATTCACAGATTCCAATTATTTCCACCAAACACTAGAAGATTAGTATTCAAATTGTTTCTGCCGCTCATCTTCATTTTGTAAACTCAAACTCAAACACAGATCTCACCAAACACTCGTGTTTTCCGACCCTGCAAAATCAAGAAATTTAATTCTGCTACGATTTCAACCGTGAATTCAACACGAATTCAGGAACAACGAAATCAATTACACACGCCTCATGTACACTCGTGTTTCCCTGTGAATCGAATAGGAGCTCTAGATACCAATTATTGGTGCACAAAAGGTTGAAGATGATAAATGAATATGGAAGAATAAAGAGAAATAAAGACGGCTACAACAAACTTGTTGAGGAAGAAATTCTATATTAGATACTTACTAAAACTATAATTACAAATTTTTTTATACACATAAAGTAAACTATCACGTAGGCACCAGCAAAAGTAAATTTAATAGCTAAGTTAACAAAACAAACTAGGACCCCATAAGCTAAACATACTTTTGGGATGCAAACTCATAAGCTTCTGCTTCTGACTAACACAAATACTTCTGAAGATGAATTACTTCTAACACAATCATCAAAGCGCATAACTGGACAAATAAAAAGATTGATTACTTGGCGCACAATCTTGTTGAAACTGGAATGCCATTATCGCTAGGTTATTTAGTGATGATGATGAGAAAA